CCATTAAACCACCAAAAGTTAAGCTTTGGCAGGGGAGCAGAAGGCCACCGAGAAACAGAAGGTGTCCATTTTGTGAGGCTACATGAGGCTCAGTGCGCTTTTCAGGTTGGCTTGTAAGGGAAACAGGGCAGCCAACATGTTGTGCGTCCCATTCTTGTTGAGACAAACCCATTTGGTGAACCTGAACCAACATTTCCACAGGACATTTGCCAAACACCCATCCAAATCATGGTTTTCCTGCAACTGCGGCTGGTTCTTCCAGAAGCAATCCTGAAGAAACTCAATCAACCAAAAAACCACACTCCCTATCCCAGTTTTTGTTCCCCTATGCCGGGTTGCCAATCCCTATGCCGGGTCAACAAACGAAACATCACCGTCCCTATGCCGGTTTTTTTGTTTGTTTTTTCTCACACCGAGCGGACCCCGACCCCCTGCGTGCGAATCGCCCTGAGGTCCTCGAGGCGGCGGCTTGCTTGGAGATCCTGCGGACCACCGCCCGGTGGAAGGCCAGCGTGTTTTTTTTTTTTTTTGCGGTTGTCTGCGGAGAAAACCTCCTATAGGATTCCGCAAGCTTGGGTTCAACTGGATCATCACCCATCCAGAAAGTGACCAGCATCTCATTTTTTTGTGTGGGTCGGTAAGCTTGATCGAGTCGAGTAGTCAGATTCGAGCCACTGCGGCGGGCATGTGAGCATCGCTCCAAAGCCCCCCAGTCTGGGGCCATTTTAAGTAAGTTTTACTACCTGCTGGTGCAATTGAGGTTATTGGAAAGTCCACAAAACTGTATGACCAGGTTTGTAGAGCCAGGCGTCAGTCAGTTTTGCAGGCTGTTTTGTTGATGCGTTGGCTTTTTTGTGGGACTCTGACTGTGGCGGGGTTCACACACGCATATTGTATTTGCTTGCTTTGAAATTCAGTAAATTTGCATAGGCAAACAAATGTCCTGCAAAATGGGTGCTCAATGTTCAATGATGTTTCTTTTCCCCAATAGAACACTAAATTGGGATGGGACAGTTTGCTTTTGTTCATCTCCAAATGTTCCTCTGTCGCACACAAAGTGAATGCCTTCTGGCGCGCCAGGACTACATCGCTGGGCCCCTTGCGGCCGCAAGTTTGGCTGTGATGGTTGGCGCAGGCGGTTTTTAGAAGCCGTGCGTTACATAGCTAGGGTTAACGCGATTTGTATGGCCCCACTTGCTTGCCTCAAAGTAGGGGGAACCTACAAAGGAGTTTCCCTTTGGTTTCCTTATGTTTTAATACACACCCAAACAGGATAGCCTCAAGAAAAGACACCATGGAGAAGATCCCTACCAGTCATGGGAATCCTATCAAAACGAGGGGCCTCCGATTAGTATGGTCTGGATTGACAGACACAAAGAATAGTTTGATTGTTTCCAGAGAACTCACACACACGTTAAATATGTGTGCCAGACCCTCTACTTAAGCACCCTGCTGCCCTATGTTTGAGTAAAGATCCCATCCGCACATCACAAAAAGTGGCAGCCCAGAATCCCCAGATTGGATTCCCATCCGAAGACTGCATTAGCATGCGATACAAATTCCTCTCCTTTTGAGCCGTGTTTAACAGAAGTGGCTTTTTGCTGAGATCATGTCTTTGCTGAGATAGGCCACCCCCAAACCTCCAAACCACCAACGACCGGAAGCCCATTTGAGCAGCGCCATAAACCCTGACAATACAAAGTAGTAAAGGGGGGTGTCCTATAGAATCCCCGCGAAAGCCAAAACGCAGGCCGCGAAAGCTGGCGAAAGCTTATCGCGAAGAAGGTCACGCCGCGAAAGACGCGCGAAAGCCTGCATGCTGTGTGACAGTCCGCCGCGAAAGCGTCGCGAAAGCAATTCTAAAGAAAACAAACCCCGCGAAAGCAAAACATGGGGTCACGAAAGCATCGCGAAAGGGTGCGCGAAAGCAAGTTCATAGGCACGCTGTTTACACAAGAGTATTTGGCACGGCTCATTTGGTAAACAGAAAGACTTTGTGCAACTTTTTGGGGTCAACCCGCGGACGCAATTCCGAGCGCATGCGTTGGATTTTGCTACCTGCAAGGCAAAAACATAACCCGGATTCCCAGGGACCGGACGTCTTTGCGGGCTTGGTTCATGTATCTCTTGTTCGGACTCCTCGAGGTTTCCTTGTGTCCTTAACTCTGAATATGGGCCAATATCAAAGCTTACATATCTCTGGGTGGATTATAACGACCTCACACGACCAAATTCATTTCAAAGGGTGGTTTATGTGTGGAATAGCCCCCCAACCACCTTATTTCAGGTTGGTGAAATCTTACAATTCACCCAGAGATCTGTGGTACTGCGTACAATCTCGTAGCTTCGGTTCAAAGAGAAGCGAGGAGCCCGCCACTACTGACCGCCGTCTGGGGGTAAAGCTAGCCGCGTGCTCGTCTGCGATGAAAAATCGGCAAGGCTAATGCTGAAGTACCTGCTCCTGGAGGTGGTGATCTTCCTTGCTGAAGGCCAGTACGCATTTTTTTTGTTTGGTTCTGTGGTTTGCATGTTAATGATTAATGAGTTGTTATTTTCCTCCTTTTTCTGTGGTTTGCATGTTAATGGGTATCCTGCCTCCCACATAGCACCTCTGGGAGGGCACAGGGAGCAGTTTCGAAAAAGGGCCCTCTGTTTTCTTTGGCCGTGCTGTGAGGGAGGGCATGTGTCCAACAAGCGGGATCCCCAGAATCGTCGTCGTTTGCCTTTGTGCTTCTTTGAGCGCTGGAAAGGGTACCTTGAACAAACAGAATCCCGCGAGTCTCAGGCCGGGCGACTTCACTTTGTTCCACTTTTGGGTGCCAAAGTGAAGGCAAAGGGAATGAACTTCAACTTTTCTGGCGGTTCGGCTGAATCAGATGCCCATTTGGGTTCCAAAGCGGGTTCCCGTATGCCAGGGTCATTGGTTGGACCGCCTCCATGGCAAGCCTCCAGGTCCGGAACGGCTTCTGAAGCCGAAAAGGGCTTTCCAAACATTCCAATCAAGATCCTTGGGTCACTTCTTGAACCCCCTCTTGTAAGGGAGATGTGACCCCTCTCAAAGACTGTTTTGGAGACCCCTTCACTTTCCAAGGAGGGCCAAAACGGAAACTCTGGACAGAAGGCAAAGCTCCAGAACATCCCAAAGCAGGGCCCACAGAAGTTAGGTACTCGTTGGGGTCGTCAATCTAAGAAGCCAGATTCAGGAAGTTCTACATAACAGTTCGGCAAATACCTGCTTCTACTGCCCATGTTCCCTCCGGCAGGGGGTTGGTGAAAGCTGAAAGCCCAAATGGATTCAAAAGGTGATCCCCTTGATTTTCCTGTCGCATGGCAGGGGTCTTCGTTTTGCTGTGAACTTTACAATAGACATTACAATATGGGGTTTGGTTTCTTTTTTTGGGGGAACTCCCAAACGTCACCTGTTTTCTTTTTGTGGGGACCTCCCCAAATTGACGCAACGGTATTTCTCTTGGCTTTGCTTCAAACACACAAACAAGTGGTACCCTCAAAAGGAGACACACCCATGTGAGCGCTCATATGTTTGGTGGAATCTGTTGGGTCAAGAAATGGAACAATTACCCATTTGTTTGTTGGCAAGCCAACGTGAGGCTTGCTGCGGAGCCGGTGCGCCCGATCGGGCGCCTGTCGCCCAGACAAGGGCCTACAGGCACAGCCGAAGGTCTGCGGGTAGACACAGCTCACCCTAGGCCAGTCAAGTCTTTCTTTGCCTTGGGCGAAGTGTACCACCTTTTTGTGTTGGCTCCTTTCAAGGAAACCAACAAGGAAAACCGAAGCAGTCCAGTTTGGGTACCCGGTCCAATTCGTATAAGACGCACCTATTTCAAGCCTGAAAGTCTGGGAAGGCCCCTTTTGCACTCACCTGCTCCGAAATGGGTGCTGGTTGTTAGTTGGGGCTACGACTGGGTCCAATTTGGTACGACAATGTGACCCGAGCTTAAAGAGAAAGTAATTGTCAGAACCAGGAGAAGGTTCACTGTCAGAAAGATTGTTTTTGTTTTTCTCCGTGGGGGTGCTCTTATGTGATGCCCAAGAAGAGTCTGATTATTTTATACAACCCGTGGACCCTAGCTGGGGGTCGGTCGCAAACCACCGTTTTTCTTTGAGGTCTTGGGGGGTCATTGAAGCCATCATATGTGCGGTCCGAGAAAGTCCTAGGGCAACAAGGAAGCCATCCGCGTTTAAGGGTTCCCCTTTGACGCAACCCATGCATAGACGTGAAGCTCCCTCAAAAAAGCGCCATTGGGCGCAATTCATGTTCCCTTTGGGTGGTGAGTGTGGTGCACAGGACGTGTTTTTCGTCTTCCGCCTACATCTTCTGAGCCGCGTTGGGCAGAACGGGCAAACCAAAACGCAAAGGACTGCTTTTCCGAATCACCGATGCCACCGGAAGGGTTATGACCCATGGTCCCCCTTATTGGCCTCCAATCGTCACCAATACTTATAAGGGCGCTATGGTGAAGTTCCCTTCTGGGTGTGTCTCTTTTTGAGGCGTGCCCTTTGTGGGTTTTAAAGGGAAACCACAAGGGAACGCCACCCTTCTAGTGGACCCCCGAAAAAATCAGACACAGCCTTATGGCTCTGAATCAGATGACTCTTCTCTCGTTGGGAGTCAGGGGAAAGGTGGCAAAAAGAGATGCCTTGCCAACCACCGGCCTGCACATGTGGGAGTTTTTCAAACAAACAAGTAATTTGTTTGGTCTTCAAAGGAAAACCAATAGGAAGCCAACCAGTTTGGGGGACGCCTATGACATTATGAGGTGGCACCCTTATGGATCCCGTTACCCGTTTCCCATGCGCTCCTGGGTGGGAACTGCCTGCATCCCGCGCAGACCCTCTACTTCTGGGTGCTCAGCAATCGAATGCCGCCTGGCCGAAAGCTGTTTTGTCGCAGGGCCCGGGCACAGATGGGCTTGCAGGACCCCGAAAAATGGTCAGCCCACCCGGGTCTTCTTGGTTTCAGCCGAGATGTGTCATTTGGGTGTGGTTCCTTTTGTAGGACTTGGACGCCCAGAATGGCCACAGGGTGTTCTTTTCCCTGTAAAACCTTCAAAGAGACGGGTTCCACCTGGACACGCCGCCTTCTGGGCTGATGTCCCGCCTTGGTTCGGGTCGCCTGGGCTTGTTTCTCAGGTCCCCCCGCCCCCTGGAGTTCCGGTTCTCTTCTGGCGGTTCCGGCCGCATGCAGAAATCCATCACCGGTACTTCAACCAACTTCAGCTTCACCTTCTGGAGCTTCCTAGTACCCTACCCCGCGTTTTTTTTCTTCACCCGAAAGCTTTCCCAGGATTTGTTTTTTTTCCGGAGCAAGTCATTCATTGCGAGGTTCCGCGACATGCTGACCAGCACGGTGATCTTGGTGCCGCTGCTGCTGCTGAGCTTCGTGAACTCCCTGCTGCGCCGCTGCTGCCGCACCTTCGACGCCCACGCCGGGGCCCCCGTTTTCGGCGTGTTTCCGCCGACTCCCCCCTGGGGGGCGGGGTCCCGGGACCCCAGGGGAGCGGTTTTGGGGCGGCCCCGGCCGGTCCTGTTTTTGGGGAACACCCGGTCTTTGTTGGTTTGACAGGGAAGCCAAAAGAGATCTGGTGTTCCTGGGGTCCCTGAGAACTGAGAGGTGTTTATGACATATGGCTTCTAAAAACTGGAAACCAACTCCTGGTTGGTGGTTTCCTTTAGGTTTCCCCGAACCATCCAAAAAGGGCCCCCCAGTTCGAGAAACCCCCGTATCCTGAAAGCAAAACAACTTTCATCCACGCACCGCCCATTGCAAGGAGTTCCTCATCTACCGCAGCAGCGGGCACCGCGCGCGGCGGCGCTCCTTCTGCGGGGACCGAGTCGGAGGGCGGCCGTTGGTGTCCGAGCCGTTGACCGACCAAACGCTTCAAGGGTACACGCGTAGATGGCTGTGGGTCAAAACCAATGGGATCCCATTTTGGTGGTTTTCGGTGCACCACCCATTTTAGAACCCATTTTAGTGGGATTGGGATGTTCACTGCGGCTACGATTCGGATTTATACCCATGGCCCGATTTCATTTGATTTCTGCACAACAAATATGGCGAGCTCATCGATTCAGGGGTAAAACCAGCTCGTCCTTTACCTGGGGAGCGCGTAGTCAGGTGGACCTATTGTTAAAAATGCATATGTATAGATAATATACATATATATATATATATATACATAGTATAGATTGCACGATTTCCATGTTCGGGGTACGGGAATGCTGACACCATAGAAATTGTGCCATCTAAGATCTGCTTTCGCCCAACTTGAGATAACTGGCTGCGTTTCTTTAGCCTTCATTGATTGGATAGAACTCTTTTTCAAGGCATCTCTTTGCGTAATAGGATTCAAGCTCTCCAACCTCTGACACGCCCCAAAACATGCTGGTTTCCTTCAATGCAGGCTGAAATGCGGCCGCAAGTTCGGAGTGAGGGCTTCCTGACTTCGTAGGGGGCCTCCACTCTTTGGGGTAAGGTAACCATTAGTGGCGGGTGCAACCCAACCCTGATGCTCGAATTGAGGTCACGCGCATATCAAGGCAATTTTCGGCCCTTTTTGACCTTTACTATTATGGGTTTCGCTTTGAAGGTACCCTCATTTGGGGTTGTTCTAAAGAACCGCCAGCTATGTTGTTTCCCAATTTTGAACTTTCAAGTGAAGTATGCCGTATGAAATGTGTTTACAGTTAAGTTCTTGTTGACGACAGCCTGACGCTTTAACTTGGGTGTGCAGGATGCGGGGGCCAAACATAACTATTCTTCACAAGCCTGTTGGGCTTGTGTCACCCGCCCCCCCCCCCCCCCCCGGGGCAAAACACGCACCTAATCAAAGGACGAAATCCCTTCGATGCACCTCGGCCAACCGCAGGCTATGAGTTTACCATGCGGGAGCAACCTCAACAGGGTTTGGCGGACAGATTCATACCCAGACCTAATATGCCTACCTCGGCACTGGGCTCAGATGTTTGTTGGTTTAACAGGGGACCTGAGAAATCTTGAAACAACCCGCGGATGCACGATGGGCTCCCAAGCCAAGGGATGCATCAATATTTTACTGTGGGGGGCTAGGTGCAAGGCTAGGTGCAAGCCAGGATCTCTGGCTCAGGGTTGTGACAAATCCCAACTTCCTGTGATACCAGAGTAAGATCCCATCCCCAGGACTCACTTTAAGGGCGGTTTTTTGTTTGTATCACAGCAATCGGTTCTATAACATCCTAAAGCCAGGTTTTCCACCATCATGCTCCGGGTACGGTCGGATCGAAAGCAAACAGAACCAACTTTGCTATGGGAAGAAACGGGCTTCTGTTTGAGACATGGATAGTCCAAATGCGGTGGCCCCAATCAGAAACTGTCCTGGTGAAAAGTGTACCCTCAAAGAACCCAGACCCATTTGGTGTTCCACGTCGATCCCTTTGGCCAGGACTCGGATAGGGACAGCAGGGACAGCAGCAGCAGCGTCAGTGAGAGTCGCAATACCTCGGACACCAGTAGCACTGACGAGGATCTTGGGACTGTCGGCTGACGGGTTATTTGTGGGGCTGTCAATGATTGGACTTGATTTCAGTCTTATGTGTGTGTGTGCGTCTGGTACAAAGGGACCAAACTCTATGCGTGGGGTTTTCGGAGCACCCCGATTTCCTGTGCGTGCAACTGGGTGAAGGAACCAGCGCATCCATGGTGTCTCGAGGGGCTTCCCCATGTATCCTTGGACTTCAGCTTTTTGGGAAATAGTGGGTTTTCCACTGGAGCCACAACAAGTCAAACTTTGGCAGAGGGCTCAATAGCAACCAATTATCAATGCATGTATGGAACATGGAGGCAGTGACAGTGATTCTCATCGGTTATGGGCAAATGGAGCGCTTTGTTTGGTTTGTTTCCTTGGGCATTTCTGGGGTGTCCTCAAACCGCTATGATTTCGGGGTAGACTAGATTAAATATGAAATAGATTCTGACAATGTGGTTTGCTGTTTGCCCCAGAACTTGCTGTGTTGGTTCTATCCCTTACGGCTTGAAGAACTACGGCTTGTGTATTGCTTTCTCGGACTACATGTAGTCTTGAAAAATTGGCCCGCGCCGCAAAAGGGAAAGGTGCTGTGCGGATGTTTGACTTTCCAAACTGTCCTGAACTTCATGCATGCTCATTGCGAAGACCACTCAGTGAGTGAGGTGTAGTCTAAAAGGGCCTCAGAGCACTGTCAGGCTCAACCAATTAGGCTTTTCAGTGTTTTGCCTGCTGGTTGCTGTTTCCGTTGTTTGTTCTTTCTTTGTTTGAACTGTTTAGTTTGAACCATGCAGACAACCTGAGAACCTTTTGCAGGTGGTCGCATTGGTCAAAGAGGAACCAAGGCCTGCTACTTAAATGGGGTAAGGATGGTTTTCACCCACCAAAGCAATTGTGGTAAGTCCCCAATGTGGATTATATCCATGGTGACCAGCCACCAACTGACCCTGCCCACCCAAGTCGTTCTTTGCTTTCAGCCAGCACAAAATGAGAACTTGCAGATCGGGTGTTTCTGAAGCTATCGCACCAGGCTGTGGCTCAAGAAGCAGCACCCAGAAACCTTTGGCGCCTTGGTACTGGAAACAAAGACCAAGACCTGTGTAACCCCAGCTGTTTAATTTTCAGCCACGCCCACCCAAGTGTGTGTGTGTGTGCGCGTTTTTTTTTTTCTTCTCCTTTTTTTTTCTCTTTTCTTTAAATATGATTATTATACATATATTAAAACACAGGGTCAAATAGGGTTCCACCATTTTGAGGGCCCGCGCAAAAGCCGCACAGGAGGCGCCGATGGCTCCCAGACGCTGACCAAAGACCGTCGGCCAGGATCGAAGACCTGGCCGGTAAGGGGCAGTGCTCAAAATGGAATTTGGAACCCCCAGGTGGGGATTTCAAGAATCGCCCCAAGGAACAGAGGGTCCCTTGGTACCTCATGAGGATGGCTTTTGGGTAAAAAGGGGTCGGTCTAAGTACCTCCTTAGGTACCAAGGGACCCTCTGGGAAAGGAACCAACCATGTTTAGGGGATCACTGTTCTGAGAAGCAGATATATAGATACCAAGACCCGTTTCCTTTTTTTGAGATGTGCGCTCCACCCAGCCTCCAAATCTGGGATAGGCATCCACCCACCCACCCACCCGCCCAGCCTCCAAATCTAACCTTTCAATACTTTTCAGGCCACCCTGCGAGGACGACTTTTGGCTCCAAGTTCCAATGTGTGGCCCAGTTTTGAGCTTTACCCAGATCTGGACATTTTAATTTAGACTGGAACTATGGACAATTGTTAAATCAAAGGTTTCACAATGCACTGAGTTCAACAAATATTCCCTGAGACTATGCTTCTCACAGCTTTAGTGCGGAGTTCCCTGTTTTTCTCTCAACTTCAGAGGTAAACTACACAGAAAGGCCCTTGTTGGGCATAAAAGAAACATCCGCGGAGCCAGCCACCTTCTTTTGCGATGTGTTAATGTTGACCTGATTCAGGTGCCCGTTACAACGCACCCCTCTACAAATAAATCAGGGGGTTGGTTGCCATTTCCCAGGCTGCCCGCAGCCCCGTTCTACTTATTTAGGCCTTTACAGTGGGTACCAGGACAACAGAAGGGGCTAAAACCTGCAGGGTTGTGGGATCAAGGGATTATCCCCTCATTTGTGATAGAAGGGAAACTCCCCCTTTATATGGGGGGGTAGTCTTTGGGAAGCGCTTTTTGTTGAATCACAGAAGTGGTCATTGTGCACAACCCTGCTGCACAACGACTTTTTCGTTGTTTTTCTTTACTTTGTGCTACCAACACAAAGTACGGGGCTGAACCTGCACACCGCTGTGTTTTTGTTTAGCGAAGCAACATTTGATAAGTTTGGCCCCTAGCTGGATTTCTCTCGGCTGGGTTTTCGCAGGAGCTGCCGCCTCAAAGCGGAAGGTGCAACTTGGCAGTTGCTTTGGTTTTAGCGAACCTCAGTTTATAGTTAATTTTTAAGGCGAAACTCAAACACATGTTGTTGGGGGGTCCCTAATTTTGAGAGCTTGGGTGTATATAAAGCGAAACTCAAGCACATGTTGCTGGGTTCCCTCAATTTGAGACAACCCTCTTTGGTTTCCATCAGTGGCGTTCGATTCATTTGGTTTGTTGTGAGCCTAGTATGGGTATGCTCCAAGATTTCTGTATATTTCAGGCTACACCAAATTTGGACTAGAATATGAGCATATTATTTTTGGTGTGCCGCAGATTTCGGCAATATCAGCAACCTCCCGATCCAAACCCAGGTGAAAACCCGTTCTTCATGGCTATTTGGTGATGGATCTTTCGAATTGTCCGTTGGACCCACAAAAAGTGAAGCACTTTTTGAAGAGCCAAGCTTTAAATCGTCCTTTCAGTCTTCAAGGGGATGAAATCCCTGGGTGGATTCCAGCTGACGGCTTCAACGCCATGTGCCCAACACGTTGCAACCTTTTGCTGCGAGGCGCTCGGCATTTCGCGAGGTAGCTTGACTTGGGCAGAAGACTTTGTAAGCAAAAGGTTCAGACTGTTGTGTCAATCCACTCAAGTAAGAGGTCCATATATGCATGATTCATTAGCGTCGCACTGACAGTTCGCTTGTGGGAGAGTTGAGCAGTGCCCCAAACCCCAGTAAGGCACATAATATGGGTGTATGTCTTTTCAGGGTACCCTGTATAGCTTGCTTCAAAACAACACCAAAAGGCAAACCACCAACGACTTGACACGCACCCATAAGAATCGTTCCACTCCATCTTCGCAGAGGCTCCTGGGGCTTTCACTAAAAGACCCAGACCCCTCCATTAGACACCCCGCAGGTGTTTGGGGTCTCAAAGCCTGGTTGTTTGAGGGCCCTAAATCAAGCGGGAGCGTCTGGGTTGTAGAAGTTACAGGTTCCGCGGCTCAGTGTGCGTTAAGGTGCAGAAAGAGCTCGCGGAGAAGTTCGCAGGAAAATGAATGTGCCGCGCAGTGTGCAGGAGGTTTAGGGGAGGACTGGCTCGAATATACACAATCTGTCCTCGTGTAATACATATGCATACATATATATATATATATATCTTGTATTACTCAGTTGTTCAGTGGCACCCTTTTTCCCTTTTTGTTTTGGTGGCTGCCCCACTAAAAGTGGTCTTCCCCAAAAAGGGTTGCCTTTTTTTCCAGGGCCGCTAAACAACTGAGATTAAGCACTCACTCCCTAAGTTCCTGGACTTTACGTTTTTGGAAACCCATTTGAAAGGCAAGTACAGAGCTAAACTTGCTTCGCCAATCCGCTCAAGAAAGATATATTTTCAAGTGACATATGTGAGGTATGTGACAGCATGCCAGGAGCCAAGTGTCCATAGCTGGGTCATGTAATGCGGTTAATGCCCGCAAGCTTCCAAGTGCACCAGCCGCATCAGGCACCAGATGGTTGCGGCTTGCCGCACCTCCTCGCCAAACTGGAAACTACCAAGTGCAGAGAGCCCTGTTCCTCTTCTTCCATATGGAGTTTGTGCACCACGCCATGTGTGGTGGCGAGTTCTGCATGTGAAATTTTGGGCATCCATCGTATCAGCTGTCCTTAACCTCTCCCAGTTCAAGCCTTCTGTTTCAGTGAACATCGGGAAGTCTAGTTCGGAGTCCAATTTGCTGAGCCGGATTGCTAGCATGTTGCTATGATCGTGACTCAATCTACATTTGATGTGCCAGTTAATATTTCAGTTAGTGCTTAAAGCCATTCCAACCATTCGGTGTTTTGTCGGAGCGGACATTCTCACGCCCGAGCTGGTTCGTACAGGCTCAGGGAGGTCTTTAAAATGACATGGGCTGAACGCTGGCACGCATTATTTTGTTTCATGATCATGACTTAATTTGGATTCAAAGTATTTCAAAGTATTCTGCAGACTCATGTTTGATTGCATCAGCCCTCTCTTCCAGACCATCTAAGGGGTACCCTCCCGTCCAACGTGGAACTCCGATCCCAGCCTCGCCCAGTGACATCGTGGAGCTCCGGCGCGGCAAGAAGCAGACGATGAGGCCCGCGGTTCGCACAAAACCCGACCGCTATAACTTCATTAAATTTTCCATTTGGCTGTGGGTCAAAAACCAATGGTACCATTTTGGGGGGTTTTCGGTGCACCACCCATTTTAGCTATTTTAGTTGGGATTGGGATGTTCACTGGGGTACGGGATTTTGACCCATGGCCATTTGGTTCCCATCCGGGTCTGTTTTTTGATGGTACTCTTGGTTTCCTTTCTGCTTGTTTCCAGCAAAAGCCAAGAGGGACGCAGGAGGGCTTTCTGCAGGTGGTTGGTTTTCGTTTGGCTTCTCTTGGGACTGGAATCCTCCGTGGGAATGTGTTGAAAGTAAGCTGAAGGGAATCTGACACCCCGTTTTGGATGGTATCTTGAGACTACGTGTACATGTCAAGAATTTTGTTCAACACAATTCCTCGTTTTTTCCGCGGCTTTTTCTCCCATCGCCCGGGTGGCTGTCCCTTTGGGGTTCTTCCCCTCGACCTCCGGCAGGCGCATGAGCCGTGGCCAGGCGGGCGGCGAACGGGAATGGTCTGCGCGCTTTGCGGCGGCGGGATGCATAGCCTATGGCTCACTTCTTTTTTTTTTTGTGTGTGTGTGTGTTTGATTGTTGTTGTGTTTGTTTCATTGCGTGCTTTTGGTTGTTCTGTTGTGTTTGTTTTGTTTTTTTTAGTGTTTCTTTTTTGCTGTTGTTTTCTTGGTGGGGCGCCACCTCAAAAGTGGTTGGGCATGAATCACGAATGATGTCCACTCAAGGGTGCCCATACGAATGAAGGAATATCGGACCCCCGTAAGTTCCCACGGTTTGTGGGCAGCCTTTGCAAAAGCGACTTGTCCAGGAGGTCAATCCATGGCACATGTTTAAGCCGATAGTTGGCAGCAAAAAGCGCCCTCTTCACAAGTAACCCCTCAATTTGGACTAATGACCCCATTTTTAAAGGGTCATGGAGACTCCAGGTGTTTCTTCTCTTGCGTGGGGGGTCTACGACCAACCAGATCAAACTTTAGCTGGTGGCTCCCAGCCATTGCCTTGAGCCTTTTGGCTTTTTAGTGTTTAGTGGTAGTTTCCATTTAACCCACTAAAAGTTAAACTGATTGCGGGGGATCTAAGGGCCTGCGAGCTCTCTGCAGGTGTACCAAGTCGCAGGCTACGATGACGACTCCTCTGAGGAGGACTGGGCCAGCGCTTTGAATCGAAGGATTTTGGGGAAGCCACGTGCGACGTACTTTAGTCATGGTGCTAGATGGCTGTCGCCTGGCTGTGTCTTTTTTGAGGTTGGACCCTCCAAAATGGTGATGTGCTTTTGGTTTTCCTTTGAATCCACAAAAAACGAGGTTCCCTCAATACGGACACACCCAAATATCTTTAAACACATGACCGGAAGGGAGGCCAAAAGGATGTTGGAATCTTCTTGGACTGTGGGAACCCATGCGACAGGCGGCAGAGCAGTGGTCAAAGCACATTGCAGTGAGCACCCATCACGGAAGCGGACAGAGCTTGATGGGCCAAGCCGAACCCTCGAGAACGACCATCTATGTTGTATGTTTTGGAGGGCACCCCTGTAATAAAAGGGGTGTGAAGGGAGACCAATGGTAAGCACACCAGTTTTGGGGTACCCCTATTTTGACATTTCCGTTCATGAGATTCCCAGGAAAGAACTTGCCCCTTTGGCACGCCGGTGGCCTCCTAAGCCCTAAGTGCACAGGTGCCCTGATTGCTCCCCCCATGGCCACGGGACGTCTGAGACGATGCAAACTTAGCATGGCCGAAATGTCTCAACATGAAACAACAACGGCTCTAATAATAATTAATAATGATAATGATAATAATACTAATAACAATAATAGAATACGACTCTCCTACTTGAGATTCATCAGGATCCAAATTTGGCTTGGGAGGAGAAGTGATAGATATATGTTTGCCTATGTTTCGAGTTCTTTGAAGGGCTTTTCTAAGTGGACTGGGGGGTTTTCCCTCACGCACGCACACATCCCGTGGCACAGATGGGTCTCGAGGAGTTGCCTGGTCGCTGCAGCGTCTCCTGGATGGGCGAGTCCATGAACCAGACACCGGCGCTTTGGATGAAGGACAGCGTGATGGGCCGTTTGTCTTTTTGAGGGCAGCTCCGGGAGCTGAGGAGCTGGGGGTAGTTTTGGAGTGGTGCGGAAGGGAAGCCAAAAAGAAAAACTCGGCGTTTTGGTTGGTGCCCTATTTGAGACACACCTAAAGTAGCTCCTGTTGACCAGCATGGAACCCATGCTACGGATCGCGACCAGTGGCTTTTCAAGGCTTATTCGGTGGGTTCGTGTGAGAATTTGGGGATTCCCTGCGGTGTCCTTGTCATTGCCCCTATAACCTAAAGCCCGAAAAAGGGTCCCCCACAACAAGCAACATCTCCGTTTGAGGGGGGGATCGTTTTCTTCGTGTTATGATGTTGTGTGGAGGGGAATAATTTTTCCGGACCATATTCCGAAGAATCCCCTTGAAACAAATGCATCACATGGGGAACGGAATGTTCCCAACAAGCTAAAGTCTAAAGATCCAATCAAGCTTTGATCTGTACGGACTTGAGACATCACACATGATGGCTCCCCATTCCACCGCGTGGCGAAATGGAATCGCCGGTCATGAGCTATCGCAACTGATTGGCCGGAAGCGCGTTGATGACCCTTTTTCCACCAATTGTGGAAGTGGACCATGAGCCTAATCAAGAAGATAGTCCGACCCCATCCTGTCAACTTGCTTGACTGTGGGAGAGGGGCTAAACGCACTCCCTAAATTCCTGGACTTCATACTGGAAGCACAACAAGTATAACAGGTGTTGTTGCTTTTTGAGGTGAATGCGCTGAGGAACGGAGACAGGGTAGAAGGGTGGTTCTCAGAGTTCTCTAGAAGCTTTCATGCGCTGCCCTCAACGCAGGGCACGGAAGCGCCGGAGTCGCAGCATGCACGGGTGATTTGGATCTTAAATC